TCTGGTGAGATTCTGTCTATTAGGTGCAAGCTAATAAAGAAGCTGAGCTGATTTCTGGACTATCTCATTGTGATTCTTGGGCTGAACCTGACAAATATAAACCCTTTATTTTCCCATCCACTTTGAAGTATTCACACCTCCCTCCCAAATGCAAAGGCTAGATTAAAGTGAAGTTATTGATTGACTGATAAGACTTATATGGCCATCGATCTTATGTGCCATAATCCTGGGTGACTCAGAGCAACAACAATAAAAACATAGAAAACAGTACAAACCAGCCTTCCAGCAAAAACAGCTCCTGATGCCTAAAGAACACTGCTGGACACATAAGCAACCACAGTCACTTGGCTTCCTGATCTCTCCTTCCTACAAGTAGTATGTCAGACTTCCCAGTTTCAGCCCAAATTCATCTCCTTTATTTCCAGCAATTTCTTCCACACACAGTTCAAGATTTATTCATTCATAAAAAGGCTGATTGTCTGCCAGTATTCATAAGTAATGGTTTTAGTTTACACCATCTGAGAATTTTATTGTTTGAAATAATACTTTCTAGTGCAAATCATTCTGAGTATTCAATTTAAATTTCAAGTTACTAAAGGACTACCATGATTCTTATTTCTGTACTGAGATAGTTCAAACTTTTCTGGTTATTCATAAAGGGAAAAGTATATATTCTATTCAAGATGAGAAGAACTGATTTTGACTACTCAAAGAATGAAGAAGTTAAAAAGAAGAAAGACTTTCCAAAAAACTTTTGATTATTTTAGCCAAAGAAACATGACAATTTGGTGTCTGTTAATTTGTTCCCTATTTTGTACAACCTGTAGAATTTAAACTTTGTAACATACCTGTCTTTCACAGAAAAGGTTTTCTGTTTTTCAAGAGTGTGAATCAGAGTAACAAGGAAATGCTTGTTACAAATTAATGCATACAATCTCTGGTCTTTTCTCTGAAAGAAGTGAAAGACATAAATTACATTACTGTTCACCTATTTTTAATGTGGTGTATATTTTATTCTTAATTACAGCTGCAAAAATCATCCTTCAATATTTAGAAGAAATCCTGCTATAGATATTGATATTACAAGAGATACAAAGGAGGCAGATAAGGGAATACATATTATTATTCCTCTTAGTAAAGGTTTTCAGACTCCTTGTAATCTCTGTCCCCAGCTTGGATATGTAATATTTCTAGACTCTGTGAAAAATCTAAAATCTTAGAAATATATATTTTTAAGTAGCATAAACAAACTTAAAAGAATGAAAATTATACTTACTAGTGGTTCATTAGAGTCTTCAATAAATATAGATGAAGTGCCTGTAGCCTAAACATAAAAATAATGAATGTAGTATTAAACATTTTCTAACAAACAGTAGCATGAATATAAAAATGATGCTGATTTTGATGTGGAGTCATGACTTATGTTCTGAATGTTCTTCTCTAAACTACAAAAGACAATGAAGTGAAAATTCTTATAAAATGTGGTCTTGTAAGTCTAGATGCAACTGAAAACCACATATTCAATCTATAGAAATCATTTTGTAAGAAAAGAAAAACAAAACCAATTTTGGTTCAAAATTGAAGTATTTGTTATGTAAATTCCCTCTTATTCACGCTACTAAATTATCTGCACAGGATGGAAACTGATTGTGTGGGGGAGGGGGGAAGAAAAGAGCAGGCTGGTATTTCATCTTTGTGTCCACCTACCTGTCCTTCAGTTATCAGTCACCTGGCTTTTTTCCCAAGCCTTGGGCTAAACCGGGTGGCAGGTCCTTATGGACTACGTATTTTGTGAGATGCTGGTTGTTTTCTCCCAATGTTTTTTTTGTATTTTGTATTGTGTGGGCTGTTTTATTTAATTTTTTTTACACTGTACGTCACCCAGAATCATAATGGAGTTGGGCAGATTAAATTTAATAAATTGAAATAATTTACTTCAATTATTTGATTTTTATAGAAAAATAATCATTTACCTACTTGATTATTGCAGACAAATAATCATTTACCTCTGGGAAGAAAGTCCTAAGAACAAAATGTTTGTAGTCAAGAAATGGAATTGTTCCAAAACTGTCAACTATATCCAATTCTTCAACTTGTAGTTCAACAAATCCTACAAAAGAAAAAAGTTGCTTGTAGCATTTTTTTTTTTATAATGTAACATCCTAATAATAGTTTTCAGTGTGGTTCTGGAAAGGAATGATTATCAAGGTGTGTATGTGTGTCTGTCTGTCTGTCTGTCTGTCTATCTATCTGATGTACAATATTGACTGTGTATTTTTTTTATGCAGGGTTTTGAAATACATTGTTGTATTCAATGCAGTAGTAACCAAGAAAGTAAATAGTAGCTGCCATTAAATGTTGACCAGCAAGAGGATATAGGCAACTAGGAAGCACAAGTAGCACTCAGCAGAATCTGATGCTTTTTTAAATTGGCCTTTAATTCAGGGATATCAAATGATTATTTATTGTATAATCACCACTGATACTTTATGGAAGAGTTTAATCCAAAACCCAGTAAAGACAATCGTAGAGAACGGTAGCTGCATTAAGGGTCAGGGCAGGCTCCTACAATCACATGAAGATTTAAGACAAACACATAGAAAATAGCTTGTCTCTTAATATGCAGAAAACTAGTATGAGGTATTTAGGGAATGACTTTTATTACATTAAATTGGGGAAATCATGTTTCAAATGTAGCAAAACATTATTTCACATGCATAAATCACTTAAGGTCTATTATATTTGTACACACAGTTCTTGTTTCCTACAAACAAGGGGAGTATTGGCTAAAATGAGCACAGAAGCTTTGGAACAGTAAAGGCAATTTACTAGAGGCTTTTATAAAGGGTTTTTATAAAGAATATTAAAGATTTTATGAGGAAAAAGATGTTTCCTCCACACCTCTGTCATACAATCTGGTAATGTAGGTACAAAACAAGGATTCTGCATTTCATACAATGAAAAAATAATTGCACAGAAAATAAATGCACATATGAAACAATTCTGGAGCCTCTTACACCCAAGTGTCAATTTATTCACTTGCATACTGCAGATATAGATAAATTTACCCTCCCGTATTTCTTTACGAAGTTCACATTCCAATAGCTCCAGATGTTCACTCAATTTTCGATTTAATTGCTTAGATTTTCGCTGGGTAACAAAAAATGCAACTAAAAAAAAAAAAAGAACATTAAGCTAACACAGAAAGGAGAAAAATAGAGTTTTAAAATATTTGAAAATGGATGCAGCTCAGAATGGCCAAGTTTAAACTGGCATGCAATTTATTCAAATCAATATGTTAAAATATCTGCAGCCCTACCAAAAATTGAGAATATGAGTAGGACTATAGGTAGTAGTAGAAACCCTGGACATCCTCCAATCCTCCCTTCTACCACAAAAGCTTTCCTTTTTGTAGCCCCACCCCCTCCCAAAATTTTGACAAGAATTGGAGGCCTCTACCAAGGAGGGAAAATCCATGGGCTGCATTACGTTGATGGAAATAAAGAATCTTAGGTAATTCAGTCTGAGGCCTTGGAAAGGTTTTGGGTATAACAAGGGAGAGAAGCAACAGGATGGATCATTAGTCAGATGCAGTATAAGCAGAACTTCTCAAGCTGTGAGATGATTATGGGTAAAGTGCTCTCTGATGGCGCCTAGTGAATTTAGCTGATGGTTTTGGTGATCAGGAGTGCTTTGAGATGTATCAAATGACTTGGTTGATTTTCACTATCATCATATACACATACTATTTTGTAACAAATAAACAGATAGAGATAAGTATGCAATTACTTACCCACAATTACTATAGGGATTAACAAAAGAATGTAGAAGAATGAATAGTTGTTTTCATTTGGGACTTCATGCACCATATTCCCCACCTTGACCTATAGATAAATAAGACATTGATTCAGTGTGTGTGTGTGTACACTATACATACATACACTATATAAAACTACAGTCAATATATGAAGAAGAGAGAAAGAGAGAGAAGACTACAGTCAGTATATGAAGAATTTGCTGTAGGGATAAAAGGAATTGGTACAATGTTTAAATTTCATAAACAGTTGATAGCAATGTTTTAAATTTATTTGATTATACCTTGTCTTTCCATCTAGAGAGCACTCAAGAAAAAATAATTATTGAAAGATAATATGCACCTTCCAGTTAAGCAAGGAGAGATTTTTTTCCAGTTATAGAAGGCTATCCAACATAAACAGGCCCAATAGCAAGCATTTCTTCTCTCTCAAAATCAAGAGTATCTGTCATATATGTTAAGCATAAAGAATGCAGATTACTTGTAACATTCAGTGTGTAGATATTCTATTTATTTTACAAATTATATCTACCTTCCTGCTCATATGGCAATTTGTAAAGGAATTATGTGCGCAAGCAAGACTGAGTGCCTATATATAGAAGCATACAGAAAAAGAGAAAGCTAACTAATAAAATATTAAATTGTATAGTTCAAGATATGATACCTTTTTATATCCTGTAAAACTAGAGGAAAAAATGTAATGATAGACATTATTCTATCAGAGATCATTTTCTGCCAGTAAATATTGTACAATTATAGCTAGAAGCACAGGATTGTATTGCAGTAATATATGTCATGATTAGTGATATCTGGTGTCTTGCTTTATTTAAGCACTTTACTAATTTATTATTAAAGGAATAGAAAAGTATTAAAAGAAATTGTTGAAAAAGAGAAACAGAAAGAAATAACAGAATCTACAAGACATTATACTGATATTTGTATCCTTCAACTTGTTCATAATGATTTGGAACTAGGGATAAGTAAATTGCTAGCCAAGTTTGCTGATGATATCAAATAGCTTGGAATGGTTAAACAGAAAAGGACAGCAAAAAAACCTTCTAAAGGAGTATTTCCAGATGGCAGACAAGGCAATAAAACAGCTGCAGCTACAGGCAAATATAAGAGTGGGAGACATAATCCAATCTCACATGTATCGCCTTCATTAGATTTGAACTGTCTCTTTAAAGCTAGACACAAAGGTTAGCTGAAACAGATATTTACTGAAACAGCAAATGAAACTGAAGTCTAAGTAAATGTTGTTTACTTTTGATTGTTAGTCACAAACAGAAGCAAAAGAAAGCCATTTCTACACCACCACCATTTTCACTTCCCAAACCTTCAGAAGCGGTCCAAAAGTGATTCCGCTTCTGCTGTCAAAATACTGAACAAGGAGTTAAAATGACTGTTACACAGGTCCTGCAGTGATGAAAATCCCTCCAGACCCCTCCCATACAAAAGGGAAAGAAAGGAAAGGGGGAAAAAAACCTCAGTCGCTTGGCCCTTTATTGCCTATTGGGCCTTTGCAAAAGATAAAGGGGAAGTAAACTCTTGCCAGTTTCAGCCCTAGCGACGTTTATTAAGGAAGTACCCAAAAGCCATCGAGTTAGCATTCCAGTTCCAGAGCAGGAATCAGGAAAGATTATTCTCAACAGGGAAATAGTGTCCCAGAAGATCAGACAAGAAAAACCAAGCAATCCTAGCTTTCTGCAATATCATATACTCCATAACTGAGCCAGAAATGCATCAGCACTTTCCAGCACTGAAGGTACAAAGGCTCTGGAATTTATTTCCATTGGTTTAGAATGTGCAGAAGTGCCTTGAGTCAAAAACAGAAGCAAAAGCTTCCAATTGCTTGCTTACAGTTGCATTGAAAGAATGGGGAAGGATGCAAGTTCAAGGCTTGTGGAATCCTGCTCCCATAGAAATAATGTATTGTTGTGGGCATTCATGCAACATTGAAAAGTATTTCTCAACTGACAAAGATCTCTGAATAAAAAAGATGCTAGACACATTTCCCAATTTGAGAAATTGGATTGACTTTGCCGCTTCTGCAACCACTACAACTCCGAAAGAAAAGCAGAAGGTATCATTTCATCTTAGAGATGTGCAGCATTTGATCCAAAACAGGAAAGGTGCCTTGGAACCAGTGCAGGCATGCTTGTCGTGTCTGTCAGCAGGACTTAAACAGGGCACACTTTTTCCTGATCTTGCACAGTAGCCCCTGAAAATCCCAAATCCTAATGTATGTTGTCCATGGACCACATGCTCCAACATGTGTATTTCATGTGAGCCAGGAAGAGGCCCAGCTTCTCTAAGGTGCTGCTGACAAATACAGTGCGTGCATCCACATCAGGTCCAAATTACTTTTCTGCTTTGGATTTGACTATGCACAGCTCATGAGACTCGAGCATTACTCACACTGAAAGCAATGTAATTCTATCTACATGTACATAATGTCAAAGGCTGTTTCCAGGTAGGAGACATTCATATTCAGTATATGGAAAAATCTAATTTTGAGTTACAATTTCAGAGACATATTTCTATGAATAAAATATGATAACACAAACTCAAAAATATATACAGTCAATACAATTTTTACTTACATAAACTTTCACACTTGACGTATTAATCTTGCTGGTAAGTTTTTTTTCCTGTTTAGCTCTACAGTTTATAATGCTACGAGTAGCAGTTTTTGAAATATTTTGGACACTGAAAGTTATGTTTATCATTTGGTTACCAGGCATGTAAGATAAAAAAACTTCAAGTTCATTTCTAGAAAGATTTAAGTTGTCATTTTCTTTCTAGAGAAAGAAATGAAAAAATAGAATGAACCATACAGCAAAATTCAAACAATGCAAATGTTTAAAAGAGAAGTTTGAAGACAAAGAACTTAAAAACCCACAACTTACATGTATTTTCAATTCCAGGTCAGGTTCCAAATCAGTTATGAGTTCATAGTGAATAAACTTAGGATCAGGATAATATTGAAATCCACGGCAAGGTATGCGTATATTTTCAACTTGAAGAACAACATTAATAATCTTAGTTTCTTTCTCCATCTTAATAACTGGTGTTGTAAAATTGCATTCAAAACTATTTTTATGGCAAGTAAATTGCTAAAAAAAAAAAAAAGCAGTAGTGAGAAAATTATAAATCATAGCAAAATACATATATAGAACATTGTTAAAATTGCTGCAGATCTGTGCACAATTGAAATGCTTAGACTTCACTTAATTGAGTGAGATTTGATATTGCTTACATATATTCATATGCTTATTCACATACATTTTAAAACACCACTGAGCCATCAGCACCCCTAATTAAATTTTTAAACTGAGTCTTGACAGTTTTAAATTACGCACACATACACACACACACACAAATACATACACATACAAATCTGATATTGAATACAAAACCATTAATACTGGGTTTTTTAGTGTTTATATACTCATATTAGCTGAGTTTTCATTTAGGTATGTTAGGGAAATACATTTTACCCTTTGTGTATTTACTTACAAATATGGGTTCCAGGAATATAGAGCATGAGTAGCACCCCAAAACTGCATGAAATTTTCAGCTTCTCCCAAATTTTATCATAGCGCCACTGGCTTCAAATATTAACTTCAGAGTAAAGAATTCTAGCTGATTCCTTGACTTCTCAGTGGCTTTGGATCTGGTATCATCAGTATGGTTGGTCACCCAGGGGTTGAGAGGTATAGCTGGGTATCATCATCAGTACGTTGTGTCCATAAGACTCAGCTATACCGCTCAACCTCTGCCCAGCCAAGGATGCTCCCAAACTTCTTTCTCAGTGTCTGAAGGCTGTAAGAGCCTGGATGGGGGAGAAATAGGCTTAGGCTGAACACTAGCAAGACTGACTGACTAGTTGTGGGCTTTAGGAGTCCCAAGAGCTGGGGATTTTCCATGTTGGTTCTGAATGGGGTTGCACTGCAGATGGAACTGGTACACAACTTGGGGGTTGTCCTAGATTCTTGGCTCCTGTTCAAAGAGCAGGTGGTAGGCATGGCTAGGAGGGCCTTTGCACAATATTGTGTGTCAATTGTATCAGTCTCTGGATTGCGAAGTGCAGCTCAAACACTCATGTCTTGATTTGCTCCCTTTTGGATACTGCAACATGCTCTGCAACACGAGACTTCCCTTGAATATCACTCAGAAACCCCAACTGATCCAGAATGCAGTCACATGGATAGTTATGGTTGCACCTGAGTACACCCACTACTATGCAAGCTATTTTGGTTCCCAGTAGGTTTCCAGGTGCAATTCAAAGTGCATGTTGTCACCTATAAAACCTCTCTTGGCATAGGTCTGGGTTATATGGGGGACCATCTGTGTCCAGTTATTTCTGCCCATTCCACAGAGTGAGCATACTCCAAGTCCCCTCAATCAAATAATGTCATCTTCCCTGTTGTTGCATCTGCTCTGTGAGATATGGATGGCCCTGACCTTGATGGCCTTCTGTAAAGCATTAAAAGTGTGGCTTTTTCCCAGGCACTGGACATGATATTTAGTGAACCTATTTTTCAGGGGGTTGTGGATATCATTATGTGTATTTCCTCTGGCATGATTTGTTTTGTCTTGTTTTTTGTTGATATTTTTATTGTTAATTTTAATTGTTGTTCAACATCCAAACTCAAAAGTTGAGTAAATGGCCTTAAAAATCTAAATTCTTTATAAGCACCCTCAATACGTTTGGCTACAATATTCATTTTGATCTATTGCAGACTTCCAGTGAGGATTCATGGCAAACTAGATATCTCCGAGGGAGCAGAGACAGCATTTTGCTGGCTGGCCAAACCACTCCAGATACAGGAGAGATCGTGAGATTGCCCATTTGCACTCTGGACAGCTGCGCATCATGAGTAAACTGCAGGAACTGAGGTTTTTGCAGCCAGCTTGTGAGTTGAGCAGCTGGGAGTCAAGGGAAATCCATCAAGCTCACAACCGCAATGTAGTCTTATGGACACAAAGTTCTGTCAAGCCTCATTTCTTAATCACTTTTGGAAATTTCTTATTAATTGGTTTTCAACTATTAAGAACTTTCCAATTGACAGGTTTGATAAGATATACTGGGTGAGTTTCCTTTAATCCTTGACGAAAGAAGTTTTAAGATAAGTTTAAGGACAAAAAAAAGTCTTTTTTTAGGGGGGAATAAGTGGCAAAAAAGTGATTAGAATGCTGATTCTGGAAAGTTATAAATGGATTAGGGGTCCAGATAGATTTGAAATAAAATTTTGAAATTGATTGTGGGAATCCTTCCAGTGAGAAAATGCCATTGTTTTGAATTTTTGAAAGAAAACAAAATAGGATGGGAATTTGAACATGAGAGGGTACCAGAGGGAACTAACGATTACAATTAAAGGAGAAGAGCACTTAAATTTGACTTATTAACCCAGAATGGAGCAAAATACTTTAACACTGGACATATTCGAGAATATTTGTGAGCAATGGATCTAGAAGTTAACCTTAAAAGTGTCTGTCATTATAGACAGATGACTTTTAAGAGATGTTGTGGAAGAGGAACAAGTTTTACCCAACAGGACTGGGACTGATCTGAAAGTGGATTTGAAAATGACAGGCTGCAAGAGTGATATCAAAAAAGATGTTACACTGGATGTACAAATGAAATTGGCAGATGTCTTAATAATCGATAGGGATGTGCAACTGGCAAACCAAAAGAGTGCCTTGGATAAGTTTCTAATATTGGATCAACAACAGAGATCTGTTAAAGTTCTTAAGAATTTTGTGAGAAGGGAAAAAGAAAAATGAAAAGAAAACAGGCTCTAGGTCATTATCTGAAGGGATTTACAATCAAGACTATTAAAAATAAAGGAAAGAATATAAAGTAGGTTTATTTGATCAAGGTTAAAATAGATATGTTATTATTTCTGCCAACCCTTAATGGAATTTTGCTGACCAGGACTGAATGACAAGGTTGTAAGGATTTGTTTATAGATATGAGATATGAGATGAAGAAATTGTTATTGCATTTTAAGAGAAGGTGATAAGTTGTTTAAATTGTTTATACTTGTTGTGACAAAGGTGAAAGTCATTTCTTTATATATTTCTTTTCTTGTCCTCTGCTATCTTTTTATTTTTATTTTTTCTTCCTTTTTTATTTTTCTGTCTCTATATATATATATTTCTTTCTGCACTCCCTATTTTTTCTTTTTATTCTTTTATTTTTTGTAATTTTCATTAGTTTTTATCTGTTTAACTATAATGTTTAATAAGATTATTATAAAAATATTCATTTTTATCTATTTAACGGCAGTGACCCTTGGGGAAAAACAAAGTATACAATACCTACCATCATGTTTTGCTCCAAATCATCTAACATAATAACTGTCTCTGTGATATTAAGATATTTCCCACGTATAGTAATATTGCGACCTCCACTGTAGAGGGGAAAAAAAACAAAATAAAGAATAAGCTTAAAGCTGGAATTTCTTGATAAATAAAAATGAAAAAAAAAATCTAATTTTCATAGAGTTGTATGTAAAGTAAATTAACTCAGAATGTCAGTGCTATGGCCTTAGGTATGTATTGTCAATTCTTGAAGGGTATAGTGGCTACACAACAAAATGTAATTGAACTGATAATAAAATGCCTGCAATATATAATTATACTGTTTCTAAAAAGTGGATTTAAACATACATGTATTCAGTGCACTACAGAAAGAAGTACTAGAGAAAAGAAAAATGGTATCATGCAGTGTTGTTGTTTTAAGTATACAGTACCACAAAATATTTCAGAGCATATAAGAGAAAAGGCTCAAAAATGCATTTCTTAGGTTACTTTCTTCTAAGTGAAATAAATAGCATATGGCATTCAACATACAACAAGAGTACAAATGAAAAGGCAGATAGAGAAAAGCTTATTTTTATGGATCACTAATTATGTTACCCATACCAAAACTAAACAGCAATTGTGAGAGTTCCACAATTGACTTGGCACATATTAAAAGCTATTATATGTTATGTTTTCATTAGAGAGTTGATTTCCATGCTGACAGATATAACAGAGATTTGAATTTGCTATGCTACTAATTAAGTTTTCTAGTCACTTGTAGAAGTTTAATAATAGTAAAAATAATTTATTTTGATCTCATTTTTCTAGTAATACACTCAAAGAGCCTGCTGGAATAAAAATGTTTCCTGTTTATGACAAAAAAAAAAACAAACATTGGGGAGGAAGAGGGCTTTTGAGTGAGTATTCTGGAGCCATATCACTGCCACAGAAAAGTCAATTACTTTATATTCACCCACTAGCTATTTTGGTATGGTAGAGAAATAATAGCTCTGAAGCTGCTCTACATAAAGGGAAATTTGTAAAGGGAGAGAGAGAGGTCTATAAACTCAAAGATATACGTATATCAATAACAATGCTGGGTTTAGGTTAGACTATTTAACTTTCATGTTCAGTTTACCATTTTATGACAGTGCAAATTAGATGTTACCTCATCCACGTAATATTTGGAAGGATCTCAAAACATGATGGAAAAGAGACATAATATAGTGGAACAGAGGTTGAACACTCAAACCCATTTTCCTTTATGCATGCATTCTTGACTTCTTTGCGACTTGGTGGTAAACAGAATTTAATGTGCGTGTCATTTAACACTTTAGTAACATATCCCCTAAGGAAAAAAGAAAAATATGTCATTTTTAATGCATTAGAATTTCTTTTCCCATTTGCTTGCCTGCTATGGAATCATACTTTTCACTGCTCTTTACTAAAATCCCATTTTTTAAGTTCACTAATACTCAGCATTAGTTTGCTTAAATTCAATAACATAATCACCTTCACTGAACACAATCACCGTCGCTGAATATTCCTGCTACCTCAACTTCTTTGAAAACTTTCCTCCTGTCACCTATTCTGCACTGTCTTCTTTCTTTCCTTCCTTTAAAGGTTTAGAACCTCCCTCCACCTCCATGGGCCTCAAGGCTCTTTCTGAGTACAGAATATTTTCTACAACTCTTGGTTCTTGTTGACACGCCCATCCACTTCTTTCTTCGATTATCTTTCTTATGGAGAGTTGCTTCCTCTTTCAGCTCGAACTTCCTTTGTTTGATCTGATAAAACTTTATTCTCTTATCTGTATACTGTTCCCTTAGAATGAAAATACATTAAGTACCTTGTAAACTCATGTTTGCTCTCTCTGTTTCTTCACTGAGGCTGCTTCCTAGAATCTGCCTATCACTGCTTACTCAGCAGGAAGAAGTCACCTAATCAACTATCGTGGACAACCATTAGCTCTCAATATACATTTTTTTCAACCAGTAACTATTTGGGAGATTATCTTGTTACTTTTCACAGCTGAACAAACAATCCTCAGAGCATTAGCCTCTCCAGACACCTTTGTCTTTTCTTCTTTCTTTACTGGCTAATTCCTATTAGCCATCCTTGTTTACTTGCTCAATGTATTGCTCCTTGGAAAGGGCTGCTATTCCTCATACAGTCTCTGCTTACTCAGGAGGTATTACTCAATAAATAATCTACAGGGGGAAATCAGCAGCTCTCAGCAGGCACTCCTGGCAACCAACATTTTTTTCACCCTTGTTGAATAAATAATCCCTCAGGATATGCAGTTTCTCTGGTCACTCTTTTTTTTGGTCTCTTTCTCACGTTGAAAATGTGGAGGAGCACAGCCAAGATATAAGTTTTAAGAATGACTGTCGAAAATATGAATAACTATCAGGAGCCAGATGCCATACATATTTAAGTCTCCTTTATATTTCATTTATCCTATATTTACCATTAATTTCTGCTCTTAGCTTTATGTCTTCATATGTAGGTTGCAGATAGGATAATTATAATCCAAATAGCAAATATAACATATTCCACAGAGAACAGCAGAAAGACACACTAATTAATTTTACTTCCTAATTACTAGTAAAGTTCCACTTTGGAGGTTAACACAGCATATAACAACAGAACAGTTCCAATTTCCAGGATATATTAATTGGCAAATCTACATTTTTTAGGAAGGCACTATCTGACTATATAATATAGTCACCAGTGCAAATGGTTTCCAGATAAAATCAACATGATGTTATTCTGACTCACACATCTTGTGGGCAGCTACTGGTTCCAGTTATCTCCAGCAAAATATTTGATTTCCTAAAGTTTTCTCCTATGACTAGCACTTCATGTTTACCTAATGTTGATATCCAATTTGGTTCAATGGAAGTGATTTTCATAGGCTATTGGAAACAGAATAAATTTATGTTAACATATCCAGACAATCCTTTTAAATTACAGAATTATGCATTTATAAGTACCTTTAACATTCCTTTGTTAACAGCTTTTACATGTTACTTGTAATTTACTTATAACTTGTAAATAGTTTTCCATAATTTCAGTTGTTTTTATATAATAATTAAAGTGACAAGAAAAATAAATAAACTCACAAGAGCTTATGATCTGATGCTTTCAAGTGATGATTTGCAGGGACCCAGAATTGATTAATTATATTAATTATTAATTATAGCACATGTATTCGAAAAATGAGAAAGCAAAGCTGAAAGTTCAGATTCATGAGGATGGATCTATAGTTGCAATTATAAGTTGTAAAAAACCCCAAAGTTACCTGTACACTGGTGCTACTGAATTAGGAATATGATTTAAAATACATCCTTTACCCACATCAAGATACATACATATTTTAATTTTCTTGTAAATAGAATTTTTAAAAAAGTTACTCTTTTAAATTCTTTCCACTGGTACCAAGGCCCATACAGATGTGAGATAATTAAGTTTCTTTATATGCAGTGATCCCGATACAGATTGGATCAGTATTCTGTTACATTTGGAAAACTTGCAAAGACAGCTTCAAAATATATAATTTATGTATCAGTAGTTATTGATACATAAAATAGCCACATCAATCTGAAGGAAGTAAGAAGAGAGCTTGCCCTTCTCTAAAAGACAGATCCATGCCAAGGAGTTAAGGAATGGAAAACTTGTAGCCTTCCAGACATTGCTGATAACTCCCAGGATTATCTTCCATTGGCCATACTAAATGGGTTTCCTGGTAATTTTAACAATATGTCCATCTCTGGTATAAGACTTTTCCTTTAAGTTCTAATATAACACATCAATTTCAAATTATTTGCGAACCTTTGATCTCCGTGAATGATCTTTTCCACTTAATGCATTGATAGTGCCATTACAATCATTCTGAAAAATAAATCAATAAAAACATGTCCTTTTACCAAGACCACTTAAGAAAACAAATTTCATTAAATGATTTTTAAAATCCTATAAAATCAAAACATCTTACTTTTCTTGAACAAGTCGTAGTAGAGACAACACATTTTTTTTCTCTAACATTCCAGGTACAGCCAGTACGATTACATTCTGAGCATCTAGTAATATATATTTTACAAACAATAGAATATGTAGTGATTAGCAAAGGAAAGAGAGAACTATCAGCAAAAGTGTGAAGAATAGCTGGTGGCTAGGTCCTATTCAAGATATTTACATGCCATAAATATTAAATATTTGATACTGGAGTTATTAGTAGCAACCTCAACTATACTTTTTTTCATTTACAACCTCTTTACATTTTATTTAAATGTGGACTAAAGAATATTTTGGTGATAGATAAGATTTTAATTTACAGAATAAATAAGAATGGCTTATTTATTGTACTCCCTCCCTTTGGGCAGTGCTGACAAGATATCATCAAGAACTCAGTGCTTGTTTGTGAATAGCCTGCTTTGGACCTTGAATTTTGCTGGCCTTGTCTCTTGCTTCCCCTTTGGATTTGCTGCCTGATGGATGATAGTCTTGAACCCTGGTTTGCCTTTTGGATGAGTACAGTCTATCCTTCAAGGTACTGCAAAAGGACTTTTTCGAAGGCTGATTTATTTCAGCTAGCGGAAATAGAACCTCAGCTTGCTTATCTTTGGTCCAGGGCAGATTTCCTAATTTGCTTCTTGGCAGCCAGCTATGCCAGCATAGAAAAATATATCAAAAAGGGATCTTATACTGGGTGTGACCATTCATTCATCTTTCTTGGTGTACACTAGCTATCAGTAATTCACCAGGGTTCCTGAGAAGATCCTGACCTTGATGATCCCTGGAGATATGAGGGACTGAACCTGGATCCCTTATCCCTATGTTATGTGCCAGCTTCTTCAAAAATATGAGAAATTTATGCCAAAATAATATATATTCTGCAGGAATTGTACTCCTGTTTCATCCCTCCCGAAAAGGTAGATTCCTAACAAAAATAAATAAATAAATAAAAAGAAATGGAGGAACTATTGGAAGAATTATTTTTTGGCAACTGCATGTAGATGGCCTATGTAAAAAGTGACAGAACTAATAGTAATTCAAGAAGAAATTATAAGCTTGGAATCAGCTTTAAGACTCTTTATAAAGCAGAATATTATAAATCCATACAAAACAAATTTAGCAAATGCATCTTACGTTTTTTGAGAGGAACAGTGGTTAAATTCAAATATTTCTGATAAATTCCAAGTTCTTGAGGTGAATGACACTTGAACTGAAAAAAAAAATTAGAAGAAAACACATATTATTAGGTGCAAACTTACATATAATGAATCACTTAAAAACAACTGATTTAAATCTAGAGCTACAGGTTTCCTTTATACTGTGGTTACTTCTGTATTCTATGTTATTTACAGCCTATTTTTCAACCAGGACTGGATTCATGAATGGCTTACAACAGGTGAAATGCATTACCAAAGAAATATATAATGGCCTCAAAAACAAATCTTTAAATAGATCTCACCTCATACTCTTTAATACATCACACAGAATTGACAGTCTCAAAAAAATGATGTTCTATATTTCTTGTATATTATAGTCAGACTTGTACAGAACCTCAAGTTTTGATACAATTGTACTGGGTACAGACCTCACCCACATCTGCATGTACCATCTTTGCAATAGTGTTGTTGCAATCTCTTTAAACAACTTCTAAATGTAACCACAGAGTCACAGAAGCCATCTACTAGAACTCTGAATAGCCATTAATATGTATGATTACTATTATCAGTAGGAGAAATAGATAATATACAGCTCCTTATTATCAGGGTCTTTCTAAACATCTGCTGCTCAAGACTTAAAAAAAAAAGCAATGTTTTGAAAATAAAATAGTAGTTTCTTTAAAACCTATACTATTTCAAGGACAGAATTAGAGTTTGGCTAGCTAAGGGACTATGAACCTGCTTCTATGGGCAAAGTTCTTTTAAGAGTACTTTCCTCTAGTGGAAATACACTCAAGTACTTTTCTCGAGTGGGGAGAAATCCTATCCCAAGAAGTTCAGACATGAAAGAGTTAAAGGAAAACTGAAATTTAAAGCATCAATCAAATCTAACTTGTCCATCTAGATAATGAGCAGAGACCATCAGGGCTTGGAAAATCAAACTCTGAAGAACTAATCAGGAGCAGGAAAATTCCCCTGTCAAGGGGCTTTTTAAAAAGGGGTAGTGGAACTCCATTTTGTCTTCTGTCTCCCAGTGGGAGCTCTTTCCCAGGTCTGACTGAATGCCACTTAAGAGCCAAACTCCAATCCACCGAAATCTGAATTGGCATTCAAGGAATTATACAGTACAGCTAGCTAGCTACCAGTGAAGCTGTATGTCGTATAAATTTACTTTTGTTTCACAGACTAAACTGTGCTGTTGGGATTTTGTTCTGTCTGTTCTTCTCTCTGTGTGTCTATATTGGAGGCGGCATGGGGGATAGTGCTGAGAGAACTTGGTTGAGAGAAATCTGTCTACAATAATTTACAATAAACAGTAAATCTGTTTACAATAATTCTATTTTCCCCCTTTCTCCCTTTGTTTCTTTCAATTTCATTTTAGTTCCTTAACCTCAGTATACATAATAAAGGATCTGCATTTCTTATGAAATCAGAGCTACCATCTTGACAAGGAATTTCTAGCACATTCCAGCTGTTCAGAGAAGGCAAGAGCTTTGCCATTTTCTGAATGTGAAGTGAAATTAGTGTAGAGGATTTTTTTTCTGGAGTAAGACAGATAGTAGTAGCATTCCAAATAGTCTTTCCCCAGAGAGTTGTGGGAAGGTGCAGATGGATTATGGGTGGAAGATCTAAAAGAACTTTGTGGGAGCCAGGAGTCATACCCACCACATCTCTAGGCACGTCCACCCCATTATACCTAGAAATATGCCTTCTTTCCTGTGACATCCAATATTGTGGGAAGCAGTCCTCTCACAGGTACTGTATGATTGCCCCCTGCTTTAAGAAAGAGCTCTAAGATGCATATTGTAAACCAGATCATTTAAACAATAGCATTTACTACTATGATAGTTTTAATTGATATACACTTTCATTGGTTTTATAGGTGTTATAGGTGTTTCATAAATGCAACATATAAATTTCCTCACTTGGATCCGTTATTATTGTTTGAGGCCCAAGTGCCCTCTGTGTGTAAGCATACCTATTACCAGCTAAGGCAAGTAAATGAGATGTATCCATTCATAGCTATCAAGAGATAGCTTGATGAGGTGATAACTCACTGGTAACCTCAAGATTCAGTTACTGTAATGGGCTTTATCTGCAGCTATCTTTGAAATGCAACAGAAGCTACAACTCATGCAAAATATAGCAGCCACTTTTCATTCCACACATGCTACGCCTCTACTAAAAAAATCTGCACTGGCAGTTAAACTGCTATTGATCCAGACTCAAGATATTAGCATTATATACAAAGTCCAAAACAACTAAAAACTAGGTTTCCTGATAGTAATGTCTTTGATTACCTCTGTCTCCCCAAACCCTACCATCTGTAGGGAAGATCCTGCTCTATTTGCATCTTGCTTCAGGAAAGCAAGAGAGAGGCTGGCCTTCTCCATAGTAGCCCCTATCCTATGAAATAATCTCCCCTGAGTATGCCAGGTCCCCAAACTAATAAGTTTTAGGTAATTTTTAAAAACAAATGTATGGTGGCTTTTCCCAGCTATTGGAGTTTCCTAAACGTTTAGTTTTTTTCCTTTTAAATTGCTTTTTTTAATTATGGTTTTAACTATTTTTACTCTAAAATGCTTTAAGAGTTTGAAAATATGTTTTATGATTCTTTCTAATAAGTAGCAGCCTTATATATATATAAATCAACATTCTAGATATGTCCTTCTAGAAAAAATAAACTGCAAATGGACTACAGAGCAATTAATTATATATTTATCATTATGTTGATCTGCACATTCTTTTACATCTGCTATACACACTGATGCTAATGGGTTTTTTTCAATCTTCTAAGCAATTTCCTTTACTAATAAGAATAGATTAATATTTATTAAATTTGCTAAAGATAAAATGACTTATCTAATTGTGCTACCACAAGATTAGGCTGGATTCAGCAGATCAGATTTTGTTATTGCAGAATGCTAAGCAGTTAAAACAACTTCCTTAGTCTTGCATCCACAGGGTGAGGTTATATCAAGGCAAAATGGATCTCTAGTTTCTTTCACTTTAATCAACCACATCTTCCTCTATTCTCATGCAGTGCCATCCAACCACATCACTCTGTCACTTGTCTGCCAAAAAGATCCTCTTTTCTTTTACGCAAAGATGTTGAAACTCAGTACATATAAATATTTCTAGAGGAGTGTGTATAAAGAATAAAAACCTGATAATGCCATAATCATTAGTATAATTTCTCCAGATACCCAAAACCCCAACCTATCATCCTCCAAATACATTGAAATAGCATGTACCTTCTTGGAAGTTCTATAAAATATAGTCTCCGTTCTAATATATTTGGACTGCTAGTAAACCCTTCCTGGAGAAGGAAAGTCTCCTGAGTTCCATGATGTCACCACTTCTTATGCTGTTCATCTGAGCAGAATGATGGCTGTTCTTGGCTGAGCCACAGATATGTTCCTTATCCGGTCATTCTTTTCAACATGATATTTTGTTTTCACACAATTTCCTAAGAAAATCAGTGTTCTACCTCCACCACTCCCCAAATGAGAAGTCACAGATCTAAATTATGCCCATGATTTTAACAGGAAGACTAATAACATGTTTTTGCTTGTGTTGAGTCAGGCTGTAAAAATCTGTTTATTTCAGTTTACGGAATTTTATCAATTTATAAAATACATGGAATCAGAAGACTTTCAACATTATTGGGTATAATAACTCAATATGCAACCAGGCAAACCCACTGAAAAAACATTGTGATGAATAATATATGACAGACACCAAGTTACTTTTAAAGGCTTAGAAATGAAAGTACAGTAGATGGAAGATGTGACCAAATATGCCATATGTCACATTTCATACAATTGAAAGATATGACCAGTAGTGTTGAAACTGTTTTTGATACAACTCTTATTTAGGTGCTCCTTTCCCTTCTCTTTTCTGGTGTTGTTGTGAGGAGACTGGAAGTTTTTGTTCCACTTCCATTTAATTGAGGTTTATTTTTATGGTCACATCTTAGGGTGCAAGTACTTATAACAATAATTCAGGAAAGCAGGCTGGGATTGTTTAAAGTTTGCACCTCTTGATCACAAATTGGATATGGCACAATATTAAACTGTATTTAACTTAAAAATATATATGAGTTGTTGATCCCCTCTCATTGAAGGAAGAAAGAAGAAAAGAGCCTGAAATTTGTTTATATAATTCTAAATCATTATTTGGCATTATGTATGGGCAAGATCTTAGAGTCTAAGATCTGTTAATGCAAACTTTAGTTAATTATTACATTGATATTACTACCTTTCTGTTTAGCATTTTATTTTAATTATTTTTTTTTCTGAAACAAATGAGCAATGTTTTCAGCCTTAGAATACAGTGGTATAGCCTGATTCAACTTTATATTCAAATTTGATACTTTCTTCCTTTCTCGTAATGCCTTTGAAAAAGGAAATCAAAATGAGGAAAAATATGCACAGGAAATCAGTTACCATGTATTTCCCAACATGTTTACCAGTTAACATTAATGCTGAGGTATCTGGGTGAGGTCGCAGAAGAGCACTTAGAAAAATAATTATGCAATCCTTTTTGGCCCATAAATCTTCAATGCAATTATAGGTTTATGCTCCCAATTGTATGACATTTTTAGGAAAACTTTAGGAATTAGGACTCTTGAATTCGCCTACAAACATTTATTTCTGCCCTGAAAGTTGTAAAAACGGTGAAGAAAGTCTGGGGAATTTTCAGTGTTATATAGCTTACCTAAAGATCTTATAATTCAAAATATATATATTTAAAAAATCTAACAATGAAATTATTGCACTGCAGTGCAAAAAAGTATTACGGCTGAAATTATTTATTAATGGATATGAATGTACTCATAATTACTCTGATCTTAGAAGGCAGTTACAAAATACATGTGCACTTTTTGCTTCAATAAAAATACAGACAGGAAAGCATGTGATTGAAAAATACTACTGGGCCATGGTTGAACACTGGATATGTTTCATAAATAAATGTGTATTATTTTCTTCAGCTAGAAAGCGCTTATAAATAATGCATAACCAAAACTATAATTATAGCAATGAATAATACAAAACAGCTCAGCAATAAAATAGTCATACAAATAGATTGCAGAAGATCTTCCACAGCATATGAGAAAGTTGATTTGCTTGTGGATTGCCAACTTTGTTTTTTGGAATAGTTACTCAGCAGTTAAGGCAGAAGTTAGAAGAACGGTTGATCCTGCATGGATCTGATGCTGCAGATCCAATGTTGGGAAATGGTGCTATAGTTATTACTATGTGCAGGGCATATTAAGGAAAGGGGCTAGTGGATTACCCCAGAATTATTTCCTTCCCTTCCTACAAAATGTCACCAGTTGACTGAAAAGCTTCCATCACTGTCCTTAACACAGAATGGGGATGGAAAGGTGAGGGTTTAGATGTTTAGACTGGGCTGTCAAAAGTTCCTCCAGGCTTTGCATGGGTGGGTTCAAAACAACCCAACTAACTGCTGACAGATGCTGTTTGGGGCTGCCTGGTGAAGTGGAGGGAAACTCTCTGCTGCAATCAATCTCCTGCCATATGTGTCACTTCTTTGAGCTTGAAGTGATATGTATGGCAGGAGATTGACTGCAGCAGAGAGTTTCCCTCCACTTTTCTCCACTTTCTCCACTTTTCTCAGACTGGAGATCAGATTGGGAATTTCCTTCCTGCTGTATAGTTCCCCCCCATCAGGTGCTAAGTCAGCCTCTTTTTAAACACAAGTAGAGACCTATACTAGCCTTGATAATCCAGGCATGAGGAAAGACTTATACAGTACAGTGGGAGAGTTCCTCTCACTAAACTACAGTACTGCACTGTATGTAATCTCCCTGCATGCCTGCTAGTCTACTTGAAGCATGGGTTTAGTGGTCTTCTGAAAGAGTGCTAATCCTTTGTTTAAAAGTAGCCTGGTTAAGAGGAGACAAGCACTTATAAGGACGCTTCATGGTATAGATGAGTCTCCCTCCCTCTGTGCTGTTTCTTTTAATTGGCTAATTCAAAATGTGGATCAACTCAGAGATCTGCAAGTAGGAGGATAGAGGCTGGATTGAAAGATCTGAAGTCTTTCAGTCCCACTGCCCAAATCAGAATGGCCCTGGGGGACAGTACCCAGGGACCAGAGGGGTGTGTGGCAGAGCCCACCTTAGCCTAAAATATCTTCATGTCTCTAAAGTAGCCAAGAGAAGTTAGGCCAATCCCATCCACTTGGAATCACTTTAACACACCCTGACAGAATGATTGGCAAACTTGTCAGTTTATATCCACTGCAACCAATATGTTGGGGCAAGAGGAAAAACCTACTTTAAAACCAAAACAGTTAAAGATAATTTAAGGCTGTCTCAGATGATGTCAAGGGATTAAGTCTGTATCAGACGATGGTAATGCTGCTGGGGGATGTTTATGCTGTGGTTAGATGCAAGTGAGGAAAGGCCTAATGTCATCAAGTGGTTCAAGTCAAGTAATGATTTTCTGTCTTTCAGGAAACACTTAAGGAAAAACAGCTGTGCCAGAAACACATGTTCGTAATCTGAATAATGTGCTATATTAGCTGACATACAATTTAAAAGTCTAATGGACTATATTTTTAAAGAAGGGCAAATGGATGATACAGGCTGCAAATAAAAAGCTGGTGGACAACCCATGAAAATTTAGCCATTATTCCTAATTAAAAGGAGGTCAGGCTGGGTGGAAAGGTCCATATATCATAATGGCAAAGGTCAGAATTCTAGATCTAGAACTAACCCAAAAGATTATAGTTGCCAACCAGGATATGATGCAATTTACTTTAATCATCTCTGTAGTATGATCTAGGACTGATCTGCATAACTGGCTTGCCCCCATGTGAATATGAGCCACTGGACATCTCTTGAGGGCAGGAAAACATGTGGACATCTACTCACCCCTAGCATCCAGGAAGGCAACTTCCAGCTGTTTTTTCCTGTTATGCATACGAAATAATGTTTTTAGATGTATGTTTGCACTAAATTTAAAATTTCGCATGTTGTCTATGTTGTCTTCTGCACTTCATTTCATTGTAGGCAACCCCTTCTACTCCAATTGGCTGTGGTGCCATATGGCAGGAACGCCTCTTCCCACCCAATAACTGGTTACTGCCCTCCATGGCCATTTATTTATTTATTTAACATATTCTCCTGTAGATAAGTGAAAGGCTGTTGTTGTTTTTTTTAAGTTTCCTGATGGAACAGTGGAACAGTGAAATGGTGGATCTTTTTTTCTTTCTCTCTTTTTCAAAATAGGTAAGATTGACAAGATTTAACACTTTCTCCTTCTAGTCCAAGGAAAAATGGTAAACTGTGCCCCTACCCTTCCCTTCCCTTCCCTTCCCTTCCCTTCCCTTCCCTTGTCAACTATGAGAGAGCTCATACAAAAGACCTGTTACTGGAAACCACATGTCCTCAAAGCCCCTCCCATGTGTTTGGTGCTTGCTTTCCTGACAGGCATAGGGGGTGTAAAGAAGTAGTGGATTCTGCCAAACATTGTAAACATAGCCAGAACTTCAGACCATCACCATGGCCGAAATGGAAGAAAGTGTTGAAACTGGAAAGGGCTTTCTTAACCTGGCTTCATTTCCATAGTTTACCTATGGAAGTCACTTAAACAATTTAAGATTGGAGTGTGGAAAAGCCCTTAGTTTGAAATTCCTTTTTTACACAGGTTTTTCACATGCTGACCAAAGGAACATTTTTAATAACATAACTGAATTCGTTGTTACATTAAGTAATGTTTTATGATATAATTGATTCTAAAGGGGAGTGTGCTGTGATGAAAATACAAAGCAAATATTAACTAATATCATAATATAAACTCCCTTTGCATTGAGTTCAGTCTGTGAATTTGGAGGTAAACTGTGGGCCACGATCTGAAATTACCCTCTGGGGGGCGCCATGGAGGCGGTATATGTGTCTACATGCCCTACATGTGCTATCACAAACACTACAGGGCGTTTGGTATGAGAGATTTCCATGGCAGGTTTATCCTCCGGGTAAATCCCTCACTAGCAATTGTGAGCCTTAACAAAATGTCAGAGTCTA